ACACACACACACACACTTCCGCTATTTATATCCTCCATTAAGTTATTCCTGCTTTTCCAAGTGAAGTGAAGTTTTGGTTTGCTGGGGGCTAGCTGAGTTTAATGAGAAAGTGGAACAGAAATCAATGAAGGGGATAGGCTCATCAAGACTGAAAAAATTAATCACAAAAATTGACTCAAATCTTATTCAAGTCATTCAGCTTCAAGAGTAGTTAGATTAGTTGTTAACTGAAGTGAAGCATTTTCATTAAGTGGCAGCTCTGTCAATAGATTTGTCTTTAAATAATAGTTTCAAACACAAAAAAAAACATCAAACAACTTTTTTGTTTGTACTAAATGAACCGATGTTCTACTGCCTACTGCTAACTAATATAAGCTTTAGCTAATACTTAAAAAAAATTACTTTTGGTTTAGGGATGCACGATTTAAAAATTCTCAATTTTAAAATAATTGATAAAGAGATCATATTAAAATTCTACACTATCAAAACACTAAAAATTAAAACCAATTGTTTTAAATGCTGAAGTGAATTTAGGCATCACAGCATTATAATGTACAGTATTGCTACAGATTTGCTAAAAATTACATTTAACAGTGTTACTAATTTATATTTTTAAAGATGAACTAAGTGTTGACTTCTGTTGACTGATATTGAGATATTGTGCATCCCTTCTTTGGCTTTCATTGCTTTATTTCTCGGTTACACTTTATTTTAAGGTGTCCTTGTTACAGTGTAATTATACATTTAAGTACTGAATAATATGAATTAACTACATGTACTTACTACATATGGTTAGTGTTAGGATAAGGGTTTGGTTTAGGGTTACTTACATGTAATTATGCATAATTGTTATTATAATAGTAAGTACATGTAACGTGTAACAAGGACACCTTAAAATAAAGTGTTACCTATTTCTCTTTTGACAAAACAACTTACCTGACATTACTTCATCTTTGTCTCCAGGTCGAAGCGGAAGGTCCTGGGCCGCAAGGAATCCGAAGAGGACTGTTCACGACGTCCTTTATCCCCACCGGCCACCCCTACAGGAACGGCCCCCAGCTTGACTTCCCCTCTGCCACGGCAAATGGGCTCCATCCAGCGCAGCCTGCGCAAATCCGCAACAAGCAGCGACACCTTCAAGGCCCTTCTGCTGAAGAAAGGCAGTCGCTCCGAGACCAGCTTCCGCATGTCTGCTGCAGAGATGCTGCGCAGCACCGACCCACGCTTTCAGAGAACTCGCTCTCTCGACTCCTCATTCGATCCAGCATCTCCAACGGGCGAGAGCCCCTGCTCTTCACCAGGCCGGAACAAGAGGATGCCCGAGGACTGGGCACGCAACGAGGGAATGTTTTCAACGTCCCCATCGTTAATCGGTCCGAAGTACGGCCGATCTCGCACACCGCCCTCCGCCGCCAGCAGCAAGTATAACACCCGCAGCCGGATCCTCAGCAGCCCCATGACTGTTATTTGCGAGAGGGATGGGGAACTCACCGACTGTGAAGACCCATGCCCTGTTCCTCCATCAAACATGCCCCTCCCCATCTCTCAGGACTCCAACAGCACTTTATGTGAGCAGAGCAGCAGTTAGGATACCAAACGGCTCCTTGGCAAAGGCAGAATGCCTTCTCGGCACCAGAGATTGACTGAGGGCAGAAGACCAGGAGAGGCAGAACTCTAGAAGGTCTTGCCGCCCACTAATCCAGGCAGCACTGTCTGATGTTGTAGTATGGGCTAAGACTTGTGGATCTAAGGTAGAACAAGCAGTCAGCTCAAGCAGTAGATGAGATACTGCTGTATCTGTAGCTCTTCAGAAAAAAAGTAACCAATCCAATCCAATCTGACCTTCTTTTCGGAGAGAACTCCGCTTTCAGTGGCAATACTAGACTCATCTTTCCAAAGCTTAGCAATTACTTCTTTTATGTTGTTCAGCTTTTTATTTCCATTCTTAAGCAGTAACAGTCAGATTTGTGTGGGGTTTTTTTTTGTTTTAAAGCAGTTAACGAAAGTTGTAATGAAGGAATTACTATGTGACTACTTGTTTTGGCTGTAGTAGTTCAAGTTGATGGATATTTTGTGGTGCGTCACATCTCAAACTTCAGCGAGGCAGCTCTTGTCAGCGCCTTACCGCTTGAGTACGCCGGTCTTCAAAGACCCAAGATAAATAGCACACCGACCGATTCCTACAAGTGGGTATCTTTCCAACGGAAGTGTCTGGATTGGAAATTGAATTGGGATTGGAGTTACGAAGGCTTGTTTGTGGAAGCATTTATGTTTGGTTTTTGGTGTGTAGGTTTGCACTGTGTTCATCGTCGTCTTTTATTTGTCATTTAAAAAGCATTGTGTCTGTGTTGGTTATTTTAAAAAGTTAATTCCGACATCTTACTTGAAACAAATGACCGGTTTACTTGTAATTGTTTTGGTTACCAAAGAGCCGAACGGGACACTCTTAACTTGCTGAAATGTGAGGGCGTTTTTCAGCCTGAGTTCTGTTCTGTTAACATCTAGCGAAAGTAACCGCTTAATAACTAATCCTCCTGTTTACCTGTCAAGCGTTTTCTTTTCTGTGCAGTTTTATAATGTTTTTTTATGTATATACCTACAGAAATGTTAAGTAACACCTGATCTTATTTTCAAAGAATTTGTACATTTTAGAAACCTTTGCTAGGAGTGGCTTCCTTTTGTAGAGTATTTATTTTAGAATAGCCAGAATGTGGTTTGATATACTGTGTCTGGAAGTGAGCTTTTTGAGAGGGAAGTGAATGAGGTGTGATTAGACGGGACCTCCTACAGATTTGTGGTCTTTAAATTCAGATTCACCGGTCATAGAACTTCTATTTTGTTCCTTAATCCATTCTACTGATGGAAACACGGATCAGAAAAAGAACGATGGAAAAGAGGAAGCAAGCTGCTAACCCTCTAGAGTATGTCTCTGTAATAAAACATGGTGGTATTTAAAAATTGCCCATCTGTCTTGTCTTGGTCTTTGATTCACTGCCGCCTGTCAGCCGCCAGCCCAAACCACAATCTCATTAGCGCTGTCACTATAACACCCACAGCCGTACATCAGCTCCAGAGGCTTTGCAGGGTCATCAACTCCACTTTCTGTCCTACTGGCCGTCATTTAAAGCTCGATACAGTGACCTGGACCAATCTGATCTTTAGAGGTTCTATCACGACAGACGTCATGAATCCTTGTTTATGATTCGCCTGCAACAGAGAGATGGAAGTAAGCCCCTTGTTTCTCCACATGCACGTCATCTTTTGTGCTGAGCTTGTGAACATGATATTCAGGCAACCGTTACCTCGAAAATAAACCTGATGATGGTGCAGAGTGTGTGTTTGGCCTTGTGAGTTCTCTAGCACCTGAGGTTATGTCCTTTATCAGATAAAGTACTTTTTTTTTTCTCTGGATCTGTTAGTAGTTTAAAATGACCAAAATAAAAATAAATTCCAGACATGTTTCTGTTTATGACTGAAACCTACATGTAACTGATTTTATATATGTGACCCTGGACCACAAAACCAGTCTTAAGTAGCACTGGTATATTTGTAGCAATAGCCAAAAATACATTGTATAGGTCAACATTATCGATTTTTCTTTTATGCCAAAAATCATTAGGATATTAAGTAATGATCATCTTCCGTGAAGATATTTTGTAAATTTCCTACCGTAAATATATTAAAACTTAATTTTTGATTAGTAATATGCATTGCTAAGACCTTCATTTGGACAACTTTTTTTTTTTTTTTGCACCCCAAGATTCCAGGCTTTCAAATAGTTGTATCTTGGCCAAATATTGTCCTGTCCTAACAAACCATACATCAATAATACAGCTTATTTATTCAGCTTTCAGATGACGCATAAATCTCAATTTCAAAAAATTGACCCTTATGACTGGTTTTGTGGTGCAGGGTCACAAATGTTGTTACTATGATCATTTCTCAAATGTGCGTAAAGTATTCCTTAGAATTCAAGCTACAAATACAGAATTGAATAGTGCTATAAAAGTACATTAAGAAAAAGAAAAAACACTCCTAGGACTGCGGTCCTGAAACTGCAGTCTCAGGTGTGGCAGCATAATACTACTCATTTATGCCAGCAAAGCTTTGGTAAAATGCGTTCAGTTATATTTTTTTAACCACTAGATGGCCGTGTTTAAAAATGTGTACAGGTTATTTTAAGACCAAAATGACTAAATACAAGTTGTCAAGTTAATACAATGTTATTGTTCCCTTAAATGATTAGATTCAAGATTCAGTGCAGTATAAACAGCTCAAAATACAGATGACATTATACATATTTCACATTTAAAAAAAGTTAAACTCAGTCAAGTCATGCAGTACTTGATCCTAAGACATTATTAGTGACATTGCAAACAGAGATTTAGGCAATGTGTCAGTCAGTCTGACAGCTAATTAGAAGTTATTTCAACATTCTTTTTGTATAATTTCGCAGTTAACTGTTGGTACCTAAAAATGTTGCAGTAAAATATTGGTCAGATATACAATTAGTACAGTGTTAAATTCTCATATAAAAACATTCAGGCACTTGCGGTACATAGTAAACAAAGCATCTGCACAATAACTATTGTTAAGTTCAAACAAATAAATTGACCTCCTTCTTCATTCACATCATAATGCATGACCATTTGATCGTTAAGACTTTAATTCCTCATCTTTGATCAGCCACACTTCATTCCTGCGGTTGGTCAGTTTGAAGGGGCTGTCATATCCCGCTCTGTAGAACGGAGCCTCCTTGAATTTCATCCCATCCCTCTTGAGGCTCTCTATCAGTTTCAGAAGCTCAGCACGGCTGCTCTCACTGTTAGCAAAGCCTCCATAGGTCCTGCAAAAAAACAAGGCCAAGCTAACATGAAGCTATGACAACAATATTTTAAACTAGAGAATGCAGTAATGTAGTTGTTCCAAGATACTCGGTTTGACCTAGATATAAAATCCCTTGAAAAATAAATTGCCATTCAAAAGTTTAGAGTAACAAGTTTGAATGTTTATAAAATAATTCTCTTATGCTTAGTAAGACTGCATTTATTTGATCAAATAAATACAGTTAAAACAGTAATATTGTGAAATATTACAATTTAAAATAACTTTTTGTCCTATTTTAATATATTTTAAAAAAAAAACTTCCTGAGATGGCGAAGCTGAATTTTCAGCAGTCATCACTCCAGTCTTTAGTGTCACATGATGCTTCAGAAATCCTTGTAATATGCTGATTTTGTGGCCAAGAAACATTTTTTATTGTCAGTGTTGAAAAGTTGTACTGCTTAATATTTTTATGGAAACTGCATTGTTTTATTCAGGATCCACTGATAAAAACTGAAGCACCATTTACTTGAAATAGATTTTTTATTTTTATTTTTCAAAATTCTAAATGTTCTTATTGTCATTTAATGCATCCTTGCTTTAAAAAAAATCTACAATTTGAAAGCCCTCATCACAAACATACCTCACAAAAACCGTGAGCTCTTTTCTGTTCTCGATGAAAGCATCTGGATCAGTGGGTTTGGGTGGGTCAGCCTGATGTTCCTCAGGGATGTAGAAGGACACAGTGAAGGTGCTTTCACAAGCGGGTCCAGCACCAGGCTCAATCATACAGCTCACTGGTGCTGTCATCTCCACCTTACACTCTGATACATGACGTACAGGAAAAGCACTCAAATAAAGCCGATATCCAAGGTGGTTCATTAATTAAAAGGTGCGGAAACATGCACTGTTCTTAGTGTCTGAAATATCTGCTAAAAAATATCTGATATTTTGCAAGTAGAGTGTCATCTGGTGAATCATTAACACAGTTTACTCTGTGGGAACACAACCTGTCACATGCTTTTTATTGTTATAAAAGCATATCCAGATATCCAGGTAGCTCACAGAAAACCTTAATTTACACATAACCGAATTTTGGCTTTATGCATGAGATTTCTCACCCATAAACACAGGCCCAAAATGTGGCAATAATGGCTGAAAGTACTCATCTTGAATGTCTACTACAGAAAAATCTTCTTTCTAGTCCTCTACGGGAACATAACCACTTACTCTTATCATTATTCCCCTGAATGTATTTGAAGAGTCTTCTGAAGCCTGTGCTTAAGGCCGGGTCCTGCTCCATGCCAGTCACAGCTGTGCTGACCCAGTTTGTTGTGTGGTAAGTGCGGACCTCATAGTCTTCACCCTGAAAAGCATTTACTCATCAAATATGACTGGAAATATTTGAGCCATTAAACAACATTCAACCACAAGAAACAAGGTCTGCTTTAAACTAGACATGAGCAGACCACATTAAAAAAATAAGCATTAGCTCTGCTAATAAGCAATAAGTAAATATTAACAAATCCAAAGTCTGCAGTAAAGTCTGGAAGGTTTCTGGCAAAATCACACATGTACACACATGAACACTCACACACTAACCTTACTCTGTTGAGCAGTGAATTTTGGGTGCTGGAGTCCAGAAGAAAAGAAAGTTTGACCGATGGCTTTAAGCATCTTCACTGTAATGCTGTTCAAAATTTAAAACTGTAATAACAAGAGTTGCAATCAATTTAGACAAAATACAATTTAGAAATGGCTCTACATCAGAATGAAGCTCCACACCTGACACCAGATGAATCTTTGTAATGACTTCATATTTTAACCTAAAATATCTTTATACATTTGTATAAAGGACGTGGGAAAAATTGGGTGATATTTATTTTTCCCTACAACATTGAGTGAATTCCCATTTTAGAACATGTCCAGTACGTTTGGACGTAAATTGGATTTTATAGTACTCTAACATGATTATGACAAGGCTATCAATATGTATAAACTATTCTAGCTAATAATTAAATGTTAATACAACTTAAATCAGTTAGTTTAAGTTTTGACATGCTGTAAGCAGTAAATATCTCGCCACACTGAGGAAAAGTACACACTAGCAGTCATGTTTTTCCCTCATACACAACTTAATAAAAAGTGCACACGGATGAATACTGGCGACATGTTGCCAAATTGCGCTGAAATCAAACTACTACTATTTTATACACTTAAATTATGAGATTGCAGTGGTAAATAAACTCACCTGTCCGCCGTTGAGCGCTAAAATGCAAACGCAGTAGCCTATATACAGTCACAGACAGGCTTGTTATAACTTCTAGATAAAGAAGATGCAGTTACGGACGCTATGTAACAAGTCTCCGCTTAAGTAACGCTTACACTGACACTTCCGTGTTTTTATGTTACATCACGCATGAGAAGGCTCCGATTGGTTGTGACGAATATTGAAATAAAGAAGGGCACGACCCAGCAACTCTACACTAATCTGGGGAAGAAAAATTACATCAGTGCCCTTTGCAACAATGGGACAAAATATTAGAAAGAAACTAGCGGATGTACATGATTTACGGTAAGTTTTATTAAATCTAAAGCATTTTTGAACATTCACAAATAGTGATACATTGGAAAGGCGTTAAGTTACTTTGCAGTAAATAAGGTCAACTAGAGTCAGGTTGCAAACACTATTACTTAAAAGCCATACATTTTTCCATCATCACATCAATACTTTAGTACAAACTAATTGTTAATTGCAGACACACATAATCTGAAATATTCCACTCACACTAGACACAAAAACCTGTAAACTTTTTGTCAGAGGAACATCCCCAGTGTGCAAGAGATTGTGTGTAACTTGTTCAAAAACGACAATATTGAATCACTAATAAGCATTAACTATGATATCAACATAAATTTAACCCTAAAGTGTTCTTACAAAGCACTGCAACTTTCAACATGACCTAAGCACCATAAACCTGTGACAAAAATACATACAAATAAAAACACACAAGCTGCTATTAAATGGATCTCCCTGTTGGTTACTTCATCTTCAGAGCCGTGTTTTTCCTTCTTGGGGGCTCTCTCTGAACCTGTCTGGCTCGGGCACCGAACCCCAGGGACTGAAGAGATTCGGTGAGGAAGCGTTGAGTGGGAGATATGCACAGCATTATCAGAAGCTTGGCATCCCCTCCTGTGGACAGGAAAAGACGTCAAAAGGATGGTCAGGTGAGGCTTGGAAGGGAAGAATGTAGGTAGGCCTCGTCTATGACACTTTTAAAGTGGCATGTTAAAACCTGACTGGTTGAACAGGTTTTAACTGTGGTTCAAATAAAAGCAAAGGAAGCTCACATAACTAGATACAAGGAAAAAATATTACAAAATCTTTATTCAGAGGCCAATGAGTGCAAAAAGTATGCATTTCAAGTTCATAATTTATTTAACAGGGACAAAGGATGTCCACGACTGCCCCAGAATTAAGTCAAGTCAAATTTACTTATATAGTGCTTTTGACAACAATATACATTTACAAGTCATCTACAGAAAATTAGAGAGCTAAATTTAATATGTGGTCCCTGAGCAGGCAAAAGGAACATATGGCATTAAAACATTTGTAGATAAATAATAATAATAATAATATACATAAATCATTATATCAAATATTTACCTGATATCTAGTATTTTTATCATTTTCAAAATAAGTT